ACGTCAATACCCAGTTACACACCTTCTATTGGTAATGAGGTATGTGTACAGATATTGACCACGTCAATATCCAGTTACGCATCTTCTATTTGTAATGAGGTATGTATCCAGATATTGACGTGGTCAATATCCAGTTTCGCATCTTCTATTTGTAATGTGGTATGTGTCCAGATACTGACCACGTCAATACCCAGTTACGCACCTTCTATTTGTAATGAGGTATGTATCCAGATATTGACCACGTCAATACCCAGTTACGCACCTTCTATTTGTAATGAGGTATATGTCTTCTATCATCTCGTGGTCAGGCTCTGAGTTGTAGTCAACGCAGACTCCACGCGGAATTTGGTAACTGTAAAACGCGGTTTGAAATGTGAAAAATGCCAATTGAAAAATGTCGATTGGTAATGATCCGAAAATGACACTTGGGTGTGTATCAGTCTCGTGGTCAGACCAGCTCGTCCCACAAGACTCGGATTTTGGAGACTGTAAAAAGCGGTGTAAATTTTGAGAACTAGAAACTTCGATTCGTAATTATATAAAAAGACTCTCGGAGCCGTGGCCATGCATGTGCGCATGCGGTGGCCTTGATGAACAAAACAAAACCATACAGTAGAACGTATTCTCGACCTAGGGATAACGTCCGAGCGGTAAGACATTGAAACGTAATCTCTCATTTTTTTATGCTAAACGTTTCTTAAAAGTCAACTTGAAGTTTCAACATTTTGCGTATTTCAGGTTCCGATCCCTACGACAGACCAACTTAGTCCGACAGTTGTTTTCCGTTAGATCTTTTCGGCAATATCTGTACGTCGTGAATATTTCAGTACATATTTGTGATCCATCCAGTATCGTTACGTTTCTTGTCGACTAGAACGCGCTACGTATAAATGAGCTCAGCTCAACAAATTCTACGTTTCATCGAACCATTCTTTCTCAGTTAATGGTTCATTGTGATTTTTTATGATTTCGAAAGAACACTCTTTTTTATCTTTTTTTTTTTTTTTACCTAAAGCACCGGTTATTATTCGTCGCCCAGGAAGGGTCGGAGGAAATTGCGACTGATCATAAATATTCACTGATCCCAACCAAAAGAGGCACTATCTTTTTGTAATCCCCTCTCTTGATACCTGTCAATACATGGCGGATTCCCCTCCAGTTATCTAAAAAACGAGCCACCCCCGTCAGCCCAAGAAAATCCTCCAACCCCCAGACGATAATAATGACCGGTGCTAAAAATGTTTTTCAAACCGTCATCACCGTCTGTTGGTTGAGCTGTGGGTGGTGTGGGGACCACAGAGTTGACGTATACACTATAAAGATTAAATCCCTTTAAGTTGCCTGTGGAATTGGCTTCCAAAAGAGCGTTGATTACTAGAAGAAAAAAAGAGAAAACCGATCAATTATTGGAGTATGTGGACCGCGTGGCACTAATGAAATAGTAGAAGATAATATAGGTAAGTTGTAGTGCTTGGGAACGAGGTTATTCCGGGCGAAAGCCCTTGGAATTAAATTCGGAAAAATTAATTTCCGACCTCGCTGGGATTCGAACCCACGACCTTCGGAATTGTACTACCGATGCTCTACCAGCTGAGCTAGAGGTCAGACTGAGAGCTTGCCGGGGTGAAATAGATGTTAGGTCGCAGTAATTATGATGCAAAGATGAGAGTAAATGATGAGTACTCTCATCTTTGCATCATAATTACCGCGACCTAACATCTATTTCACCCCGGCCTGCTCTCAGTCTGACCTCTAGCTCAGCTGGTAGAGCATCGGTAGTACAATTCCGAAGGTCGTGGGTTCGAATCCCAGCGAGGTTGGAAATTAATTTTTCCGAATTTAATTCCAAGGGCTTTCGCCCGGAATAACCTCGTTCCCAAGYACTACAACTTACCTATATTATCTTCTACGATCAATTATTGGTTGGTTTATTATGGACATTCGAAAAACCCGAAAAAGTGGGGAACGAAACCCAGCAGTATCCTGAAACAGCGCCTAGTACACAGAAATGACTAGAATGGTCCAATAAAAGGTAAGATCAAACAAACGTACTAAATAGGCACCTGTAAATACCCTTCCACGTTCAGAAACCCGTTGAAATGCTCAGTACAGTCTGTCCATTTTTATTACGAAAATACGGTATTTAGCATACTTGCCTTATACAGACAGTACAGATATTTAAAAACAAATTTTACTTCAGAGGTGCATAATGGGTACCGGGTACTCCCAACTCTTCTCCCTACATTGGACCCATAAACCTCATATTTCACGTTTCTAACCTATTCTTAGTAGGTCATTGGGAAGTTTATATGATTTTTCGTTTTTTTGTTGTTTTATTTGTTTGCTATTTTTTGTTTACTTACTGATATTATTGTAGGAAGTATGTGGTGGAATGCTGGTGATTTCTTGGTCTACGGTTACAATCATCACTACTATTATACTCCCATTGATAAACTCCTTCACCCGACACTCTTTTACTGCTCCATTATTGAACTTTGCTGTAATGAGTGGACAAATGGCATCTTCACATTGCCTGGCTTTGCTTCTGAATTCCTAAATGAAATAGCGTAATTCACCTTAGGTTATAATCATGAAAACATTCATGTATCAATTTCTTGAGTATAATTTCTTTATCTTTTGGCGACGCTGTAAGAATAGCGTGTGATTGTGATAGCGTGTGTTTAACGTATATAGGTGGTCATTGCGCAGACAACAAATGGAAACAGTGGCTATCGTAGACTATTCGCTACTACACAGATGGAGTCTAACTTTGCCTAAATTTCATTTAATCACATTAAAAGCGAATGGTAGTTTCACGTTGTAATAAATCCTGGGATCGATTCCCGTGTGTGTGCAGCTCAATTGGCAAAGCGATTCACGTGAATAAGAACAATGAGAAGAATAAAAACATTTGCTTACTACTGAATTATTGTTTTTAAGATCATGAGTAAAAGTGCCTTGAAGTCGTGCGGAAATTGTTGCTTTAGCGTAAGGAAGTTTCGCTTTGGTTGTTGACATTTCTCCAGTTGGACTTTGTGCAGTAGAATATGCATCTGCGGATGAAAACGAATACTAGGTCAAGAACCGTCATTAAATAAAGGCGGTGTTACGACGCTAGGTAATACTGCTTGCAAAAGAAATAGCATAGCTACAATGGTTGTATCGAGTTTATGATTCAGGCAACAATTTGTAGACATTGGTTAATGTCAGTCAGTACTACTGGTCTTGTCTCGCATTCTTTATTTCATGACAGCAGTACTACTTTTTCTCTGTTGGTAGTTAACGTTATTCATTGTCGTTTGGCTACTCTYATAAATAATCTTTTCAGTTCCTAAATAATCCATACTATTGTTTTGAAATTAAGTTCGTGAAATAATTTTCTCATTCTCTCATACCTCCAGGGGTCTGGGTACTTCCACTGGAAGATGAAGAGGTTGAAGTTGGCTGAATTGTTCCTAAAAAAATAAAGGAGATATATATAAGAATTATAAGTAGCCTGAGGATTTAAGTTTATTCCATAATTGTGATTTACCATGCTTTTACACCAACCTGTTGAAGTTGCAGCTGTTGTTCCACCGCCTCCTCCATTTGTAGTAGCTGTTGTGCTACCACCTGAACCCGCTGTGGTAGATGCGGTGCTGCTACCTGACCCAGCCGTGGTAGAAATAGTACTACTGCCTGCTCCTGCCGTGGTAGATGCGAGGCTACCGCCTGACCCAGCCGTGTTAGATGCGTTGCTACCGGCTGCTCCTGTCGTAGTAGATGCGGTGGTAATGATTGACCCAGTTGTGGTAGTAGTGGTTCCATTACTTGCTCCAGCTGTGGTAGAAGTGGTTCCACTGCTTGCTCCAGCTGTGGTAGGTGTGGCTCCACTACCCGGGGTAGAAGTAGTAGAAGATGTAGTGGCCGTCGGTGTTCCACTTCCTGCGGTCGTTGTAGTTGCCTGTGCACCTGCAGTAGCTGTAGGTGTCGGAGAAGGTCTAACTGCGGGACAAAGTATTAAAAAACACTGTTATTTCTTGTAAGGTTTGTAGGGTTTGTTACTCTTCGTTAATTCGTTACCGCGCGAAATCAGTCACCAAATCAATCCAAAAGCTTTACAATTTTTCTTTGGAAACATTTGAAGGCCTATTTTTTGAGCGCGAGAAGTGTCGTTCGCCATCAAGGTGTGCCATGATACAACTACGAACTATGAGAGAACTACGAAAATAATATTTTTAAAACAAAAAAGAAGATAATTAGCTGTTTCTATTCCCTGCCGATTGAAAGTTAAGGATTACAATAAATCAGTGAACGATACAAGGACTTTGATAAACAAAGGTTTGTTTGCAGAAATGGACTTATTGTAAGCCCAATTTCATCGTGCATGAAATTCTGTCTTTATGCAAATATGTGCAGGTCCCCCGCGGTTAACCGCTTACTTTACATTTGTTACTAACGTCTGATGAAGGAGGTACGCTCTGAAAACGTTTACAAATTGTGAATTTTTGCAGTTCTTCACTGGCTTATATAGAGAAACATAAGAAAATATTTGTACAAAACGAGATCAAAATCCTGAAACTCATTGACGTAAATTTCAGTTAAGACGCTCGGAGCGTGAGAACATTTCGAGTTTCTGTCTCCATTGAAAGATCGAAGTGTCTAGATACCCGGTACCCGCGGGATCGATTTTCAAAATACTAGATACCCAGCAGCTTTTTATTTCATAAAAAAATCACATCTCGAAATAACTTTCAGGGATTCAAAAGGTTAGGGTTAAGGCTTAGGATTTTTCATGAAAACCAAAAGCTGCCAGGTATGTAGTATTTTGAAAATTGATTCCGGGTGCCGGGTATCTAGACATGCCTGCCTTAGAAAAAAGTGCATACTGTGAATCATTCCTTGAGCCAATCGAATGGAAATACGATTTATTTCGATCACTCTGTATATCTGAACTCAATTCTTCATTGTAGAGGATTTAAAACATTAGAAAGCGGGTCAGGAAATAGCCTGGAAAGAATTGTTATCGGGCTTCCTTTTTATAAACAACTCAGTAGAAAAACCAGTGTTTTCAATGAAAAATCATGTAGGACATCTATGGTCTTTTCGTTCTGACATGCGTTACTGATTAGTGGCGTTAAGAACGCGATGAATCTTACAAGAATATATCGGAATCACAAAAAAGTACTTATATTTTTAGTGAGAATGTTTGATAAACATGATGGTCATCACATATATATTTTCTTTGCCCACTTAAATTGATTTCAATTCGAAAGAGTTTACAAAATTCAAAATTTCTATATTTATTTTGTGTTCATATGTGTATTTTTCCTCATAGTCATAAGTTTGTTTTTTTTGTTTTGTTTTTTGTTTTGGACTTTTTCACCTGCAGAGGAGAGATTTCACTGACGCCAGTGAAGTTATTAACTATTCATGAAATCTATGACTTATTTGGATTTTTTCCTGAAGAGTAGAAATATAAAAAAAATATATTCTCACCTTTATTGCTATATGTTCTATAAAATTTTATTTTATTCTGTTGCCTGATAAAGAATATTTTTAAACAAGAAAAGAGAAATAATAAAGAAATCTCAACCTGAATAAGTATCAATGTGCAGTTTTAGGTATGATATTTAGTAATTAAAATTAAACTTTGAAACTTTTAAAACAAAAGTTAAAATAAAGTACGAAATTCATACCTTCCATCAGCAGAAAACACAATACCAGGGCACAGACCAAGAAGAAAACGTGACTCATTTTGCCGCATGTCAAGATGGAACTTCTCCAAATTTTTATGTCGAACTTAGTTGGGAGGTTTTAAGGAAGCTGGAAAGTTATTTGTCCTTTCCAGCTCATGTACTCATAATAATGGCCTTAACATAAGATCAAGTAGTAAAATACGGAAGCCCGAAGATTTTAAACCAAAGATCATAATCAACATGAAAACATGACGCAAGACGTTGTTATGACAGACCAGGGGTGGATCCAGGGGAGGGGTGCAGGAGGTGCGCACCCCTCCCTGGTTCCACTTTGTTCCCCTACTTCGAAGATACTCAATACTGTTATTTCCTTTTGATTCTAAGGGGTGCACCCCTCCCTGGATTAACTTTGTGCACAGCACCCCTCCCTGAACAAAATCCTGGATCCGCCCCTGCAGACTGTGTCAGAATAGCACTTGGGTTTCCTTTGTTGCACGAACGGGCTTCCTGTGGTTTCCGTCATTCCCAGGGAAGAGCGGGAAAAATGTTGTCCCTATGTAAAACTACGTGCTCGAGGACGAAAAGGACTGGTGCAAAATTCCCTTATCCCTCGATTTTGGGATGCGCATTTTAATCCCACTCCCCCTCCCCTCCAAGAAAAAAAATAAGCTGAATACGATCACATATATTAAAACATCATTAAGACTATATTAGAAATATAAATCCTCATAACATAAAAAACAAAGAAAATCAAGTAGAAATGTTTCATTATTTAGCTAGTTCCATAATTAAATGAGTCTGTAATCAAGAAACACCCGAGGTATTCTTCGATTGCACATTACGTCATCGCGGCAATGTTGGTGCCATTTAACAAAAGATTTCTCATTAGCATCCATTGTTAACGGCACCACAATGGCCGCCATGTTTTTGTCTTTTGACTCTCTTGGGAATGCTTGCAACCCACCAATTGTACAAATTCGAAAATATTCTATTACCACTTAGTATAGACCTACTAGTGGTCTATTTCAGATTCTGCACTCTGATTGGCTGAGCTACTATTGGTCTATTTCAGATTCTGCGCTCTGATTGGCTGATGCGCTACTAGTGGTCTATCAGCGCGCACTTTCAGCGTTCTCGCGTTCTGATTGGTTGTGAGCGCGTGCTTTACGAGAGCACACAGCAAGCAAGCGCACTTTCAGTTGCGTCATCCCTATCTAAAATAACGGTTATTGTAATTTGTGTTTTATAAAATAAATTTAAAAAAGTGCGCGCGCATGCTGTGTGAAGTTATAAGGCACTTGGGGATTGGCAGAACACTAGAGAAGTTTCGAGAAGCACTCAACTACACGTCGTGCTTCTCCTAACACTTCTCTCGTGTTCTGCCAACCTCTGCGTGCTTTATAACTGCACACATTGCACGGGCGCGCGTTTTCTATTTCTTCATTCGGGCTGCGGGTGTATTTGTTAATTTTAGAGCAAGCATATAGGTTAACAATGATCACTATTTCTCCACATTATTTCCTTAGCTTGCTTCTATAAAATTCGTCTCTACAGATATGGCATTCTCTAATAGACCTTAATCCACCTTTTTCCCATTTCAGACCACGTGTCATAGCATAATTTCTTTGTTTTACAGTTGTGCATGAAAAAAACACATGAATAAGTATACAACTCAAACAAAGAATCCTCTCCTCAAGAGAATGAAACGTGATCTGTAAAAGAAAAATATTATGTCTTGGTGGATTATCTATCTGTTATAGGTAAGCACCGGAGCACCGGAGCACCGGACAATCCGCCTCAATAAAAGGGAGATTCAAACTTAAGAAAAAAGTTATATCACACGTCCTCCTTAATAATACATCCTTAGTAAAATGGAGATACATTAGGTTCTTCCTCTACGACAAGTTTGTCGAGCCCATCAGGTGTTGACTCTTCATTCTTCTTCTTCTTATCGTCGTCCTCTTCATCATCAGCATCGCCATCAGAAGATTGTGCAGCATTTTCATTTTCCTTTTCCTTCGCTTCGCCAATGCTGTCACTCGTTTCTAAACCTGATGGTAATTTAATGGCGGGAGAGTGATTCTCGTTGTTTGGGCTTTCGTCATCAACGATTTTGGTGACACTGCTTGCCTAGAATTGGAAATAATAAACTTAGTACGTATAGATTGATTATTGTACTCCAACAATTGCTGCTATGAAGAGAAGAGAAGAGAATA